TGCTTTTTCATTAATAGTAAAGCTTTCATTCTCTAAGGGACAATTTCACAATATTAACTACACGGGCAGAGACATTTTTATGTTGTTGGGGAGATTTTTTTTTCTCCATAGTAATGCTTTAATGAGTTTTTATTGTTATTGTAAATTTCACCTTATACTTTTTAAATTTAAACAGATTAAATTTTTGTCTTAATATACACTCATGGCATAAAAATGAAGAAGTTTAAAAATCTACAATTGCAAATTCGATAACTAATTTAATGTTTTGGCCCTGTTGTAGTGTCATTTCTTTTTGTAATTTACTGTGAGGATTTCATCTGTTTTTTTATGTTTTGATTTTGTATGTGAACGCACTATGCATGCGCGTGTTCCATCGATATAAAGTGTTTGTTTATTAATAATAATTATTATATGTATTGTACAATTTTTGTTTTTTTCTGATAGTCCACATAATTCGTAACACTTGCACTTCAAATCAGATGTTTTTCAAATCAATTTTTACTAAATATGGTCTGAATTTCCCAGAAGGTATAAAGGATAATAAAGTATTTATCTCTTTATGTTTATTTATCTCTTTCCTGATGAGAATTTTTTTCTGGCGATTGCTCAAACTTAGACCATGCTTAGACTGTGAAGTTTAGATCCCTACTTATTGTGTACTATGGGTCGCGACCCAACTTTGGGTCAACAAAGCATTTTTTATGGTCGCAAGACTGCTTCTGACTCAGTAAAGCATATTTCGAAACATAGTAAAAAATACTTCTACACAGCAGTAATACAAATGAATTAAATTAACCCAGAGGTAGCTCTGTCAACCCAAATCCTAGAAGAACCTACGCCCATTGTTGTACCATCTCCAATCTCAGGGATTGATAAGGTCATTAAACTGAATTTGGCGGGAACATTTCACTAATAACAAGACTGACCAGTCAACAAGTAATAGTTGCATCGTGTTAAAAATGAGTTAATTCTATTCTTTTTTTTAATTTGTTGGGGACGTGCAAGCTTCACTTATTTTTTCAATTTCTCTCTACCCAGTTCACCTCGCCTAATTCGTCATTGTGTTATTGAACTTTTGCGTTAATAAGCATTTCAAAATTACGAGTGTAGTAAATAGGCCTGTACGCAACAATATAAAATGGAACATTCTCCACATGATCAACGGTAACAAATGCCTCGTGTACTTTGCTAGTAAATATAAATCGAAACGTTTTGTCACAGTCTATTTCACATACCCGAGGTTGACTATCAAAATAAAATAGCATATTTTTATTATTAAGAGGCAAGTGGTTTAGCCATCAAATTATACTATCATAGATTTTCCATTAAAAAAAATAAATAAATAATTAAAAAAAATAATAAAACACCAAAAAAAAAACCCAAAAAAACTAACAAATACAAGGTATATGTCAGAAAACAAAAGCATTATGATTTCATTTGGCCCTTTTAAAACCCAGACTTAAATTTTATCCTTTTTTTTTCACAATTTTAATCTATTTATGTTCTTGTTTAAAGTTGCTTCCTTTCCTTTTCATCTTGACACTGGGTAAAATAATGCATAGAGTTTAGACTATTATTGAGGTAGTGGCAAGTAATAGGCCTAAAGTTGATCTGAACCAAAATTCTGACCGCGGTTCCGATGAGCTGAACACCAGCGTCTCCATTCTTACACACTAAAGCTACATTTACAGTACACTCTATAGACTCTATAAATTGGTTCAGTTCATAATCTCTGTGAACACAGTAGTAGAGTATGTGTATCAGGCAGTTTTCCTGATGGCTATCCAATTAAATGTGGTGTTCCTCCCCAGGGATCAGTTGCAGGTTCGCAAATTAATGCCTATTTAAAGCCGGGTAGGTTAGAAGTTTAAAGGCTGTCTCTTATACACATCTAGATGTGTATAAGAGACAACAGTTGTACGTTAGTTATCACTTAAAAGTACCTGGTGAATGCTGGAAAATAAGTTGAAGCTTAAGAATCGCACTCCAATGTACAGCTTCTTCAAAAACATCAAAATCGTGCCGCAAGGCTGGTTTATCGGCGCGCAAAAAAATTCGCCATTACTATGAGAACTTTACTGGTTGTCAGTCCAGCAGAGAATAGACTTTAATACTGCATGTGTACAGTAGTGTTCATGAAATAGGCCCAACATATTTTATTCAAAATATGCTTAAAAAGTTTCAGCCTGGACGTGTAGGTCTGAGGTCCTCTGATGATCCCCTACGACTTGTAGTTCCCATTACAAAAAGAGATTTTAGTGAAAGTGCTTTTTCTGTGATTGGTCCAAAGTTATGGAATTATCTCCTTTATGAGATCCGCCAATCTTGTAAGTGCAATTTTTTAAAACACTTACTAACACATGCAATAAATAGATTCCTATTTTGAAATTAGCATTAAAGGATATTTTTTTAATATTACTATTATTATCCTTATTTTTATTTATTTTTTAAATAATTATATTATATTAATGTTTTATAAGCCAGATTTTTTTTATTCTCAAAAGTAGATTCTTATTTTCAAATGAGCATTAAATGGATATTATTCTTAAATTACTGTTATTCTTTATTTTTAAATTTTTAAATCTTGTAAACCGTATTTAAAAGAAACAATCTGATTGAATAAGCAACACAGAAAGCTGTGTGGGTAAACATATAGCACATGGTTTTTTGATCAGATTTAACCAGCAGTGCCTGACACTACTCTCTTAATAGAGAAGTTTACCAAGCTTGCATTCCATTTTGTTTGTTTATATATCTTTTTAAAATTATTTTGTATTTTAATTCATAAATAAACATGAAAATGAACATGGAAAAAAATGTGTAATAAATCTGAAACATTATAATGGCAAAAAAACAGATATAGTAAAGATGAAGTAGCACACTGCATAGTACAAACATTGAACAATTTCTCTATATTATTTGCATCTACTTTAGTTCTAAAGCAGCGGGGAAGGGTCACCTGACTATTGACCTTCAACCTGATGGTGAACGCGCTCAAAATGAGGTTGAAAGAATGGATGTGTGGGATTAGGTCTGTGAAACACAATTGAAGCCATGGAAACGTCTGAGCAGTGTCTGTAAGTTACCTTGAAGTGAGTCATTCTTGTGTTCATGTTAATTTTGTGAGCCAAACAAAATCCATTAATGTTATTGAAAATTTACAGATGCAGAACCAATTGTCTAGCTGTGACTGGCTGTAATATTACAGCATGTTTATACTTCAGACAGCCTGATACTGAATACACAATCATCAATACAATTATCATCAGCATTATCATCATCCTATCTTCATCAATATCACCATCAATTAAGCCAGGCTCCAGGTGAAGAACAAAATTGATAAGTTGTACAACTGATTTTTGTCAGACTCAAAAGGCTGTTTAAGGAAAACCTTGAGAACAGTTAATGAGACACATTTTTGAATATTTAAAAACTGAGAAAAAAAGAAGCTATATAATTTCATTTCCTCCAGAGCCTGCAGCTTAAACATAATCGTCATCTTTATCATAATCATCATTTTTATACTTAATATTTTATTATTATTCTACCTTGATCTATATTAATATTGAGACGTATTAAGCCCTTAGGCTTGTGTGTCCCTCTGTACATGACAATCCTCGAATCGGTCGCAGGTGGTGTACTTCAACGGTGACGATGCCAATGCACTTCCAATCGAGATTTGAATATATTCATTGTGTCAGACTCAATAATATTCTTATTCAGATTGTTCTATAGATTAACAATGTAAATTGAAAAAAAAAAATTCTGATGGACTCTTAGTCCAGCAAAGCCTTTTACCAACTTCAATTTATGACCTTTTTTCCTCAAACTTTCTGCTAACTTAAAAATTGGGTACTTTCAATACCATCATATTCTTTAAATAATCTGAAAACTTGAATTAATGCAGAACTCAATCTTCTAAAACAGCGTTCCGCAAACTTTTTACTTCACGGCCTATTTACGATTCCAGGCACCAAGCCGCGGCCCAGCAGCCCAGCTGCGCCAGGGACCAACATACAAAATCTTGGCAAAATTTTGATCATGAAGCCTCCATGTATATACAATATTTTGACATCATTACCTGTTTTCTCAGTGATAACATTTTATTGTATACAAATTAAATATTATTTTATTAAATAAATAATACTGTACATTTGTGTTTCCCCACCTCGCCCCCCCCCCCTCCGACAATTGTTGATTGTTTCTTCTTTCTACCATGATTCAACTAAACACGGTTCAGCCACACACGTCATACAGTAGCAGGGCCGTAGCCACGAGAAGTGAAATGGTCCGATTGCGAGCGAAGCACGAGCCCTGATGATTGGGGCTAGGGGGCCGCCAAGGGCCCCAAGTCGGGAGTTCAGGGTTCCGGGGCCATTAATCTGTAATATTATTGTAAACCGTTAAACTGTAATATTATTACATTAAGCCATTAAACTGTAATATTATTAACTAAGACCAATCAACGCATAACATAAAACATGTACATATCATAATTATTATGGTTAATCTTTCCTCGTCGATGCTTGCATAAAACCTGATTTGGATCTAATATGATGATATTGATAAACATCAAAATTCTCTGTACAGTATTATGCTATAACATTTGCAGAGTGGACTTTATTATGTTGAGGTCATATTAGACTGTAACATTATTATTAAAGAAGTCCATTCAACAAACAACATAAAACATATACATATCAAAGTTATTAGGTTAAAGTTGTCATTTCGGTGCATTCATAAAACATAATTTCCTAAAATTTGGATATCTGAGATTGACAGACAAAATTCTCTATACTATATATACTAATTTAATGAGTGGACCTTGATTTAAGCAATATATATGTATATTGAAATATGCAAAGTTTAGTAGGTTAGAAGTTTAAAGGATAGGACTTTAATGTTGTGGACATATTAGACTGTAATAATATCATTAAAAATCATTCAACATGAAACATATCAAAATTATTAATTTAAACTTTCTACTTCGGTGCATGAATGTAACATAATTTTGGGATATATGAGATTTACTTAACATTTGAGAATGTACTGAATATAAAATCTTAAATTTTACATTTTAATCAGCAATCTATCAGAAATACTGGGATTGGTTATACTGTAAAGCCTTCAGAACCCCTGCAATACTAAAACAGGGATCCAACAGGCAGTGAATATTCCATTTTGATTTAGTGTAGATATTTTTTACATATTTTAAATTTTATTTGAATTCTTTTCATTTTGTATGATTCATATGTTATATTTTCCACAGACAGATAAATGAATGCCTGAACTGATATTTGATGGGTTTCAGATTTTAATTTCTATACAAAACAGATAACATAAATCATCTATAATTGTCCGACTGTGTGCATTGAACATTTGACGACGACGATAATGTCTCCAAATTCCCAACCGTAACTTAGGCTACGGGCCTCGCTTGACACTTCACATAAAAGGGCCTGTTAATTAATCTTGCACAGCTTCCTCTACATTATCATCATCTTTTTCATCATCATAATTATTATTTGTCCATAGCAAAGTAGGGAAAAACTATGAATTCAGAATGTATGACGTTTTAACAAAGGGTTGGCGGTAGTATATTAATATCTATATTAGATAGGTGCTAAATAGTTGTTATCAATTTATAATTTTAAGTAGACAGTCCATAATTTATAAGTAGGTTTGTGTCAGAAGATACTATGTAGGCCCAATAATTAGATAAAATTAACATATTATTAGCAGATTCTAAGTAGGTTTTGTCTGTCTATTAAGGTGACTGATAGAACAATTTGTACTTTATCAATAGACCACTGATAGGTAGATGGTAATAGAATATTAGTAGTTATTGTTATTGAAAACCTCCGCAAAATATATGCTAATGAAGTGAAAAAACTACTAATATCTACTGAAACCTACCTATTAGTAGGCGTTTAATAATCAATAGGGCTAAATCTACTAAGTGCCATATGGCTAAATATCCTAAAAATGAGTAATGTCTACTAAGGGATTTTGGTATGGGGGAGTGCAATCGCTTGCCTCAAATCACAAGGCCAGCACCTAAAAACTTTGTTAAACCAGATTTATATTTTAAACTATCAATGAAGACTTGATTTTGTTTTGGTAGAATATGTTGCACAGGTTTACAGAAATACATGATAATAAACATGAATTGGAGTATGGCATGGTATGTCTTCACAAATATGATGAGAAAGCAACTATCTTTATTGTAAAAAGTTGCACTGATAATTATAGTGTAGTTAGCAAATCACAAATAGTGCAATCGTTACCATTTGTGTTCATGGACAATAGGGAAAGCTGTTGGTATCATTTCTCAGAGACCAAAGGTGTTTGTTGGGTGAAAATATATTTTCTGTGCTACATCTGTTTAAAAGTTTAAATTACTGTATTGGAAATGTCCTTTAATAACTGTTTATGTGACAGGAATTGAACCCATGACCCTGGGATAGCAAAGCAAGTATCTTTCTACCAAGATTTCCAGGTTCACTAATTATTTATTATTAATTCATGATAATAATAATCTTGGAGTCGATTTTGATGTCCTTTGTTGTGATCAATTTAATGTGGCAAGATTTCATTTTTAGTATATGCATTCTCTGTGTGAGGTCTTATTAGCAACAAGCAAAAAAAACAGTTATCATAGATTTAAAGAAGCAAATTCTAGACCTGATTTCTAACTAGCAGTTAATTTAGATTCACTGTACCCTTTCATTACCATTATTATTGTCATTATAATAACATATTTGTTCTTTACAGCTTACTTCTAGTGAGTCCATCAATGATGTTGAAGAAACAAACAGGTAAGAAATGACAGATTAATGATAATTCATTATTTTCTTTTTATTTTACTAATACATGCATTATTAGATTCTTGTTTTGAAATAAGTATTAACGGATATTATTTTAATATTATTACTATTTTTATTTAATTGTTTTAAAATAATATTATATTAATGTTTTCAGTAACTGATTGTTTATTCCCAAAATTTATCATAATAATTTTAATTATTTATTTTGTTGAATAGTGGTTTGGGAGACAAGGCCTGTAGCCATTGTGTGATGACAGGATGTGTGGCCTGTAGATCTGAAGATTCTCTCCACAGCCAAGTAATGCACAGTGACAGGTATGGTACCCCTCAGATTATCAATATTTGACCTCTACTTATGCATAGCGCCAAAGAACTGTGTGTGACATCAAATAAAAAAACAAAGTGCATGGTGATTCGTTCTCATATCATCATATATCATTGATTTTGCCTTTACATAAAATGCAATGCAGAAATACAAGAAATACAGTAAAGCTGCGAGGCAGGTTTGCTGAAATTATATAAAATAAATAACAGTCCAAGTTTTTTAAACCATGTATTTAAGGGAAAGCAGTCTAACTTTAAACAATTAACATAAGGAACTTATTCCATTTATTGTTTGTTTATATCTTGTTTCATAATTCTAATTTTATTATTTTTAAATGACAATAAAATTGCCAAAATTATATTTCTTAAATGCCGAAATATTATATTGCAAAATATTTTGGTATAACGATAACGATGCATGTATTACTGCACAGCAGACAAAGCCCACCTGGCTATTGACCTTTAACCTGATGGTGAACGTACTCAAACTGAGGTTGGTGGGATAGAGTGAAACAGAATTACAAGCCATGGAAATGTGCGGACAGCTGTATGTACGTTACCTTGAAGTGAGTCATTCTTGTGTTCATGTTAATTTTGCAAGCCGAACAAAATGTTGTTGAAAATTCACAGATCCAGAACCAAATGTCCTGTGACTGGCTGTATATACAGCATGTTTATTCTTCAGACATAGCCTGATACTGAATACATAATAATCAATACAATTATCATCAGGATTATTCTCATCTTTTTATCATCATAAGGAGCCTACCTTTATCATCATTATTATCTTATAATCAATATCATCATTATTTTTATCATTATAATCATTATTTTTTTTGTTTAACATATCCTCAGTATAGGTCAGCAAATGTTTAAATAGTTAAGCTCTGTCCAGGTTATTGAAAAATTATCTGTTGTCATGATGTGATGATGATAATAATAATAATAATAATAATAATAATAATAATAATAACAATTATAATCATCATTTTAATACCAGTAACATTTTTATCATTTAACGTCAGATCAGTACGTATCAGCAAATGTTTTAATTAAGTGGTTAGATTATTAATAATACAAATAAAATGTTAAGGATTTATATAGCGCCAAATCCAAATCAGTGGTCACAGACGCTGTGCACCTGTCTTGATTAATTATGATTTAATTATTTTTGAATTAGATGCTCGGTACTGAACGTCAGTGATGCAGACTGTGATCATCATCGGAAGAGCAGCAGTCCTGTATTGATCCAAATGGGCAACACTTGGCTGGCCGGGGGTCATGACCCCACTACATAACTAAAAAGACAAATTAAATAAAGCTTAGTCACACACCGGGTTGAAAGTAATGTTTACAAGGGCGCCCTCAGCCATCAAAGTCTGTTACAGAAAGGTAAATGTCATTTAGTCTTTATAAATTGCACAGATGGAAATTTTGAAAAAGTAATGTAATTTAAAACGACAAAAAATTGGTTTACCAACATAGTACAGTATATTGTATAGCTAGTATAAAAATGTGTTGCTAGTATGTGAAAAATATTTTTCTAGACATACTGCCTGTGTTATACTGACAAATTGGTATTTTTTTTGTGTTAATGTACAATAATGTATTGTTTAATTGTAAAACTGAATGCTTAAGGAAATGAAAGTTAGTGTAATACACAGCCTTTCCCTTTAATGCCCTCTCCAATTAAATACCAATTTTTGTAAATGTTTTGGGTCAATAATTTCTTCTTTTTTTTTCTAATTTTTACGAAACTTTTTACATACTTTGTTAAAAGCGTGGCTCATCATTCCCTATCTAGAGAATTAATATAACATTTATTATGTTTAAGTTAATATTTTCATATTTATAATAGAACCCATTTAATATTAAGCTACAGTTCTTTAACAGAGCTCAGATATTTAAGTTTTTAAGTTTATTTATTTGATCTAAATACCGTCAAACCTCAATTTGAAGCCCTGGGCTTCTTTCGAGATGGGTTTCTTTTCAAGGCTACTTTTGAAAACTAAAGAAGCGGGGGCTTCAATTTGAGATGGGCTTCTTCTCAAGATTAAGCCCATTGGGCTTCTACTCGAGGTTTTGTTGTATATCAATACTAATTGTTTTCAATTATTGTACCACAAGACTCATTTTGTCACGACAGCTCACATATTCTTGGCAAAGGCTTATAAATTTTGCTGGTAATCAGTACAAAATATTTTACTATAATTTTTGGTAAAAAAGTAACTAAATCAGCAAATTTGTATCTCGTTGGAAAAAATGACCATTTATTATGCAATTCTTTGTTTTTATTTAACATAATTTTAACATATATAAGCACGTCATGACTATGTACACATCATGACTATATATGGGCACATCATGACTATATGGGCACATCATGACTATATATGGGCAAATCATGACTATATATGGACACATCATGACTATGGGCATACAACAGTGTTTTGTCAAATGAAATTTGATAGTGTGTGAGGTAAATTGCCACCGTTTATTACAATTATTACAACCAAGCAGTACTTGGTAAAGACAAACTTGATATCTTGCTTTGAACAATATCACATATTTTTGGATCCACACAAGGCACTAACCCCAGAGCATCACTGCTGTTCTTGTTCTTGTACTTGTTACCAACGCAAAACTTTAAAAGCGTCCAGCGTCGCTAGTTTTGAATGAACGTGCAGGAAATTTTGTACACAAACTAAAGGTGATTTCCAAAAAAAAAAAAAAAACGGTCATCGCTCTTTTTTTAAGTTGGACCTCGGGGTGATCCCCACACACTTACAAACAAAATAGGGGTTTGAGCAAGGACTGTACATTACTGCCATTACCACTAATAGTGCACGTTGCATGGATGGTTCGGTCGGTTTTTAAGGATGTGTTCTAATGAACTTATGTTGTGAGTTCGAATTGCATCTACATAATATTTTTTTGTTATTAGCTCTTCAAAAAAAACCCCAATGTAATAACTTGCCACCGTATTTAAGCGTGGAGGAATGCGCGGACGAGTGAGCAGTTGCTGTTGTTTATTGTTGGTTGTTTTATTGTTGTTTATTTGTATGTTGTTGGGGAGATTTATTTTTTCTCTATAGTAATGCTTTACTGAGTTTTGACAGTTCTTGTAAATTTTACCTAATACTCTTTAAATTTAAACAGATTAAATGTTTGTGTTTTTTGATCATGGCATAAATAGGAAGAATTTTTTGAAAAATCTACAATTGCAAATTCGATAACTAATTTGTTGTTTTGGCCCTATTGTAGTTTACCTAAATATATTTCATTTCTTTTTGTAATTTACTGTGAGAATTTCATCTGTTTCATCTGATTTTTTATGTGAATGCACTATGTATGTGCGTGTTCCATCCATATAAAGTGTTTTTTTATTAATAATAATTATTGTTATATATTGTACAAAAGATTTTTTTTTTTTTTAGATAGCCCACGTCAGTCATTGAACTTCAAATCAGATGTTTTTAAAATCAATTTTACTGAATGTGGTTTTCTTGAATAATTCATTAGACTGAATTTCCGAGAAGGTATAAATGACAAAGTATTTATCTATTCATGTTTATTAATCTCTTTCCTGATTAGAATTTCTTCTTGCCATTGCTCAAGCTTTTCATGCTTAGACTATGTACTCTAGATAACTAAAGCTAAAACTAGGTTTTGCGACCCAATTTTGGGTCGCCAAAACATTTTTAAAGGTCTCGAGACTGCTTCTGACACAGTAAAGCATATTTCGAAACATAGTGAAAAATACTTCTACACAGCCGTAATACAAATGACTTAAAAATAACCCATAGGTAGCTACGAAGATGAGAAAATTCATTGTCAATACAAATCCTAGAAGAATCTACGCCCATTGTTGCACTGTACGTCGCCAATTCCTTCAGGGATTGATAAGATCATTAAAATTAATTTGACAGGAACATAGCTCACTAATAACACGACGTGCCAGTCAACAAGTAATAGTTACACCGTGTTTAAAATGAGTTAATTCTATTCTTTAATTCGTTGGGGATGTGCGAGCTTCATCACATTTTTCAATTAGTCTTTACCCAGTTAACCTCGTCTGCATAGGTCGAAAATTCGCCATTGTGTTATTAAACTTTTGCATTAATAAACATTTCAAAATTACGAGTGTCGAATTATAATAGCATAGATTTTCCATAAAGAAAATTAAAAAAAACACCCGAAAAACAAAAACAAAAGGCAATATGTAAGAAAACAGAAGCATTATGATTTGCATTCAGCCCTTTTTAAACCCTTAATTATATCTTGTTTCACAATTCTAATCTTAATGTTCTTGTTTTATGTCGTTTCCTTTTCTTTGACACTGGGTAAAATAATGCATAGAGCTCAGACATAGCACAGTATTGTGCGCTCTAGAATTGGAAGACCATTACCATTATTGAGCTTGTGGCAAGTAATAGGCCTAAGTTAAGCTGCATTCACACTGGATCTACCGACATTTGGACCGCGTTTCAGATGCGCTGAACGCTAGTGTCCCTTAATCCCTAGGATACTAATCCGATTTCTGATCGGTTTGGTATGCAGTGCAGCTTAATCAACACATAACATGAGAATAGCATTGTGGTATGACAATTATAATGTCTTGGGTTGCCAAAAAGAGGGCGTATGAAAGTGGGTCGCCACCTAAAAATAGACGCTTTGTGAGCTCATTACAAATACTTTGTTTTTGCGATTAGTGTTTCATTGTGTGGAGAAATTGAAATTCCGTATTACATACTATATCAGATACTAATCCAAAGCTCTGTAGCGTACTCGAGTTTAATAGCTAACGATTGTGTGCAGAACAATCGAGTTCCTTGGGTAGCATCTACTATATTAGTGTTTCAGCTT